ATTACAGCTTTAGGTAATGAAGTCATTTACCCCCAGTTTGCACCCTCCCAATTCACTTTTGTTTGTACTTTTTGGGGCCTGAGGCTGTAGGGTGTCCTTGGGTTCCCAGGCCCAGAGGAATTGTTCTGTCTGAGCAAAATGTGAAGGCAGTAACTAACACTGTGTATGGAGTCTGGAGTTATGCACTAATGCAGTACAGGATCTGAAAAATAGAAAAGCTGAAATCCTGAGGCATCAGTGCCTCATAAAACCCCTTGTGGTCTGGGGCACGTGCAGTGTCAGGGCAGCCCTGTGCAGGAGGCTCCTGCCCAGCCTGGGATGCTCTGGGGGGCCGTGCTGTGCCCACACAGGGCAGAGCTGGGGCAAGGAGCTCTCTGCTCACAGCAATCCTGCCTCCAGACTGCACCCTGCCTCTCTGAGTGACCAAACCCAACCACTGCAGTGGAGCTCACCTTGGACAGGGATGGCAGGAGCTTTTTGTGCCTTTGGACAGCCTTTGATATGACAGAGCTGTGGTGCACCTTGCAGATTAAAGAGTGCATGGTCAGGGCCAGCTGGTGGCATTAGCAGGGACTGACTCTGCTGACACCCCAGGGTTTACCCATTGGAGGACTTCTGGCTGTGTGAGGATGTGGAAAGTTGACCTGAATTAACATTTAAAATAACCAGACCGTTTGAATTGGTTAAACCCTCAGGTGGGCTTGGATTTCAAATAGTGTTGCTTTACTATCAGGTACTTCAGATTAATTGTATCTGAAAGTAGAGTAAGCACCACTAACTCAAAGCAACTTAATGCAGCTCAGCCAATTAACTTTAAACCCACACCCCTAAGTTAACTCCAGCCAATTTCCCTGTGTCCCTGTGCAGGCAGGTCCAGGGCCCCAGTGCTCTCCAGAGTGGTTTTCTCTCTCAAGCAAAAGCAGCTTTTAAGTAAGGGGATTGGATGGCCTAAACTTGCCTCATCCTTCCTTTTTCCCTCCTTGGAAACAGCCTCTCTCTCTGCTGAGGAGCAAACACTGCAACATTACAATTAATGCCACCTTTGTAATGAAGAGCTGCCTGGAAGACAATCTCTGCTCCACTTCTACCTGGAAAATCTCATGGAAGGACCTGAAAAAGCTCTCAATCTCTGTTACCTCACTGACAGATTTCCCTGGCAGTCCCAACGCTGCTGCTAAACAGTGTTTTTGTCTTTAAATCACAACTGATAACTTACACTTCTTGCAAGAGAAGGAGCTCCCACTTAGCCGAGTGCTGCCTTCCAGCCTTCTGGCAAAGTTAAACCAGGAACACATTCAAAAGTGAAACTACATGCAAGCACCTGTGTGATGATCTAGAGCTGAAGAACTGGATGCTGCCTCCTCTCCTGCTGAGCAAAGGTGCTCAAAGGCCTTCTGCAAGAAAACCTGTGGGGGGAAATGAAAGGTGCCCTGCAAAAGTTGTTCACAGACTGCGAGTTCAGCTGGCCCTACCAGCAGGACTTGCTGGTGCTCAGTGGAAACAAGAAAACCAAGGAATCAGGAAAAGGAAAGGGGCTGCCTGGTATAATCTCTCTACTTGGGTTGCCAAAACATCATGAAGGTGTTGCACAATCCTTTGTTGTGGGCTGCTGACAGTACTGGTGTCATTCTGGTGTAATTAGTTCATCTGTTATTGAACTTGCTCATAGTTTGATGGGAAAACCCATTAAATATCGAAACATTTTCTGGGTGCTGGATGTTATTTCAGTTGTCAGCAGTGTGACCGGTGTTGCCCACTTTTTTGGGCAATATTTTCTAAGACTGAGGGGAGAAAAAGCCATCTAGCCTATGAAGAAGACAAATTCAGTCACTACAACAACTGCAGTGAGTGTTAATCGCCCTAAGTTTAGTTCTCCCCTGGTACTGTGCTATGTAAAAATAACATGTGTGTCAGCTTCCTCCCTGTTTGGGGGTTGTCCTGGCCCCAGACCTGACAGAAACTCTGCAGGGTAACTCCAGAATGAGTGCTGGCTGTCCCCACGTGGCCAGTAACCCCAGACTCCCTTGGGATTTAGCTCCCTGCAGCTCCAGAGGGTGTTCCTCCTCCTCCCGCAGGACTTGTGCTTGTTCTGCTCCTGATCTGGGACCTTGGCCTTTTGCAGCTGAGCTGGTATTCATGTTCAGTTCCAGGTGAGGCAGAGGGTCACTGAGAACTGATTTGCTTTAAATGAAGTTTCAGACTGTGGGCCTGAAGCTCTCCTGCAGTGGTGAGAAAACTCCCGTTGCCTGAAGAGACTTTTCCTCATTTCTTCCTGGAAGGGGACCACCACAATCCAGATAGAAGAGGAAAGAGTGGAAGAGTTCTTGAAAGCTTTTGCTCTGATCTGTACAAGGGGGTCTGTGCCTCTGGGAGGTGACATCTCCTTATCACAAAAAAAAAAAAAAAAAAAAAAGGATGCAAAGTGCAAAGTAGTGCAAGGGCTGAATTTCCTTCATTCAGCTAATTTTTCATATACTGAAGATACTAAAAACAGGTAAGGGAAGGCTTGACTGCTTGCTGAATACCCTGTGATACTGCTGGTTACACAGCTACAGTGCTTTGCTTAAAAAACTCCAGATAAATGGTTATAAAATTATCATCTCTTTTAATGGCAGCAAACCTGCCTGCTGAAATGAAATTACAAGCTGTACACCCATTGAAAAAAAAGGGAGCTGTACCTCCTTCTCAAGGAGGAGAATTTTGCTCTCCCTTTGGAAGTGTAAATTGAAATCTGGGGAATTTGATGTTGTTTTGCTTGTGCTGGTGTGTGTGTATGGCCTTTTTCTGTGTGTTTTTCATAAAATTGGTGTCACCTAGATGGTATTATCCAGCAAATTGGCCAGGGGAGCTGTGGGGCAGCACAAATCAGATGCAGCTGCTGTCCCTTTGGTGCCAAATGTGGGAATTGTGTGAGGGCTGTGGTAGTGAGCTGCTCAGGAGATGAGGCTGGGGAGGTACCACAGGAGAATATTTTTATTTACAGCTACAACATCCTGCATGTTTCCAAGCAGGGCAGTCACAAGCTGCTCTCAGGTGGTGTTTGCAGCAAGTGACAGGGTTAATGGAACAGAAACCAACAATTTGTGCTGAAAACACACATTTGTATCACAAACCATGAACTATTTAAAGCCTCCAAGACACCTACCAACACCAGATTTGTATGCTCTAAGAACAAATCCTTGCATGCACAAAACCCACCAGACACAGAGCTGCAATATTATTATTAATGTGGAAATTCATACTGGAATTGAACAATCCACCTAGAGACAATATCAAGGGAAAAGATAAGCTGAAAATTTCCTGGCGTGCTTTCTAATCTGAAAATAACAAACTACTTTTTAAAAAGATGTGCTTGGGAATAAATAATTGATTAGTATTGCTTAGCAGTAAGTGCATCTATTGCTTAGATTTCATCCAGAAATATAACCTCAGTAAAAACCTCAACTCGTGGCTTCTGCTTCTGTATTTTGAAACTTTTGGTGTTATTTAGGTTATTAGAACAATTGTGGTTTAGGGATAAAAAAAGAAATAGGTTGTGAAATAATGTTGTGACTACGTGGAAGCTTTTGTTAATATTGCAAAGAAAAAATAAACCCACATCCCTGGAAGAAAAAGACAGCTTTGATCATCTGAAAAATCAAAATATCCTTTTGGAACAGGTACCCTGGTAATGATATGCATGGAGGGTTCACTCCCCCAGACCCCTGTGTTGGCTAATTATGGTAATTACAGCACTGTGGTACAAGTTTTTGGCAGCTGTGTTGGCAGGGCTGTGGATTTGCTTCTGTGTGAAAAAAAGAAGGCATTCCCATGTAGTTTGGGATTTGAGGAGTAATTCTCCACAGAATGGTGCCATTTCATGTTTTCCTTCCTGTTTGGGATGAAAATATTGTCAAAATATTGAGATTGTGCTCAGAGTTGATGAGGGAGAAGGTTATTCCCTGTTTGTTTGCAATTCTTCCTCCCCCTGCATTTCTGGGGCTTTTCTGTTTGTAGGAGGCACCGCCTGTCCCTCCCTTCCCAAAGATGCCCAGGAGGAAGATCCTGCAGAAGGTTCCCCCCGGTTTTCCTGCTGGGGGACAGTTGTGGTGAAAGCAGAATTGTTCCCACTGCTGCCCAGGGCTGCCCTGGCCCCTTGGCCCACAGATCCCTCAGAGCCACCTGCCCAAAGGGCAGCAATCCCTCTGGTGTGTTCCCAATGCTCAAAAGCTGGCATTTTCCAGAGATTCCCAGAGACAGGGGCTTCACCCAGCTGAGTGCTGGGCATTCAGAGCTGCTTCTTCCCCGAGTGCTGGGAGGAATTTATCTTTTGGTGCACTAATGTCACATTCTCTGAAAAATCCCTTCACCCAGGATTTTTCTCCTGGGAAGCTGAGAAGCCTCAGAGCAAAGGAAAACAATTCTCATCTCATTTGCTTCTCCTGTGCTGTGCTCATGTGGAATGTGTTTGGAGATTGTTTACCCACAGGTGATTGTTCCATTGCATTCTGCTGTGAGTTGTTTTCACTCTTTGGCCAATCAGTGCCAAGCTGTGTTGGGACTCTGGAGAGAGTCACGAGTTTCATTATTATCTTTTTAGCCATCTGTAAGTATCCTTTCTGCATTCTTTAGTATATTATAGTATTCTTTAATATAATATAGTATCATAGAATAATAAATTATCCTTCTGAGAACATGGAGTCAGATTCATCAGTCCTTCCTTCATCGGGGCACCCCACAAATACAATACACTAACTTTGTAAGCTGACAGTTAAAAAGTCCCTAAAATACATATTTTCCTAAACCTCAGCTGCAATTTCTAAAGTTTGAAACATAACCAATACGTGCCCTTTAAATGTTAGTAGAGCTTTACCCTGTAACTGGTGAGTTCATAATGGTCTGTTCAGGTTTGTATCGAAAAGCAACGTGAGACTTTTTGGAGGAGCACAATCCAAGCCATGGAGAGAGGGACCATCTGCAGGCTGACCATTCCCTGCTGGAGAGCCTTTTGCCTCCTCTGCTCACATGCAGCTTGTTTCCTGGAGCCCTCCTACAGCACCACGCTCTGGATCTCTCTTTTGGGCTTGGCTGGGCTTTGGCAGAAGCTCTTCAGAACCTGGGTTTTGTTGTTGCTTTTTCAGCCTGGGCAAGGAGCTCTGGGGGGATTTGCTGCACCTCAGGAGAGCCACAAAGCACCTGTAAAACTGTCACACAAAGAGAACAGCAAGTCAGCAGGAGTTTCATTCAGCTCAGGTTTTATAAGACAGGCTTTATCTCATGATTAATTAATTAAGTTCCTGGGATAGCTCTGGAACAACATGGGTGTGATAATATTTTGTATTGGAGGTTGAAATGTTTTGTCAAATAAAACATGTCTATCAAATGCAGGGAGTGATTGGCATCTGACTCCATGATTCAGAATGCTGAACAATTGCTTTATTAAGCTATGCTATATTACATTAATACTATATTATAACTATACTAAAGAAATACTATACTATACAAAAGATACTAAAGAATACTAAAGAAAAACCCATGACTGTCTGAGACAGCCAGGACACAGCTTTGATCCAACTGGCCAAGGAATCAAAACAATCCTCAGCAGAATCCAATTGACAAATCCCTTCAGGTAAACAATCTCCATAACACATTCCACATGTGCAAAAACAACAGGAGCAGAGAATAGAGATAAGAATTGTTTTCTCTTCTTCTCTCTCTGCTTCTCTAGAAAAAAAAAAAAAAACCACAGAGAATTATGTCTCTCTCTGTTCAGAGAATGTGAATGCCACACATGTCCTCGTGCCAAGAGACCTTGAGCTCAGCAGAGTAGTGCAGAGGGGAGGGAGCCATGAGCAAAATTCTGGGACAGGTTACAGGCCCCCAGCAGCTGTTCTGTGTTTTACTGATCACAAATATTACTGAGTTTGTGCAATGCAGAGAATAAAAGGGACTAAAGCTCCTCCAGCCTGCAGGATCTGTCCCCTGACTGAGCTGCTGTGGCACGGGGATTTTGGGGAGCTGAGTCACTCCTGCAGGCTGCACTCAGGGTATGGATACATCCCCTTGCTCAAAGTGTGGAATGGATTGAGCTAACTGAATTACCAATGAAACTGATGCTGGCTGCTTTGGTTTGGGTTTGACCAGGGAAAAGATGAGGACTTGGTTTAAGCTCTCAGGAGGGGTTGGTTCAATATCCATAACTGGAGGAATTTTTTCAGTTGCACACCAGAACATTCTGTGTATCTGAGAGCAGAGGGAATGTGCAAAGCATGAAGACAAGGAAACTGCCTGTAGTTGAAAAAATAGGTATTTTAGGTGGTGTGGATTGTGTGCATGGCCTCCCTAAGGCTGCAGGGTCAAAGGCTGGTAACTGATCTCTACACTCAAGAGTCCAAAACAACATTACTGGTAATTCTTTGTACAACACAGCTGCTAGCAACAAGCTCTGACAACTCTTGTTATCAACAGCCAAGTGAAAAATCATGCTGGTTTTTCATCAGCAGCCTTGCTTGCTGGGGAAAGTGGCTTTTTTAAAGTTTTACACAATTTTTGCATCAACTGAGGTTCCTTTTTCTCAATGAGAAACTGCATTTTCTCAGGATTAAAAACTTACTTTGTAATAATCATAAATATTTCATCAGCCTCTCACCACTGAGCATTGAAAAATTAAGCAGCTTCAAAACTCGTGGGCAATACTGTCTATTTTCTAGTGTTTGCTTTGCCCCCTCCCCTCATGGTCAAGCTCCCATGGCTCTTCCCAGGTACCTTTCTGCAGCTGTCCAATCCCCAGGGAATTCCTGTTACACTGGAGAGTCTCCTCAATCTGTTTAACTTCACCTGGTCCTTGCCTGGATGCATTTTCTGCATGTGAATGTTATTTTATCTGGCTTGTTCTCAGATTTTATCCAGCCTGATTAGAGATTTCTGAGCATTTACCAGAGCAGGGGGGGAGTCTGGACACAGAATTGTTTTAGGAATAGCCCAGAATTAGAGGGCAGTGTCAGCTGTGTGAGCTGTCAAGGCATCTGCTACAGATTTCCACAGCCTCAGGAATGCTGTTGGTGTTGAAGGTGGTTTTCTGGGTGACCAACACCTCCTGCTTTCACATGCCTGGCACTTCTGGGTGGCTGCAGCATCTTCTAGCCTGAGGTTCTCTCCTGAGTGCAGAGAAACCCAGACTACTGACTCCTCATTCTGCACTGAGTGTAGAACCCTGAGCACTGATTGCTGCTAAAATACCAACTGAGCAATGCAAACCAAGTGAAATTTAAGAAAAAAAATTTAAAAACACCACAAAAAACCCTCCACAAAAAAAAATTAAGTGTGTATGGAGCACTAGGAGTAAAATTTTATGGTGAACTTCAGGAGCCTGACATGGATAAACCCAGTTTCATTTATGTCTAGCTGCTGTTTGTGTCAGCAAGCTATTTAGTATAAAGATTAATTTAGAATTGTCTGTAGAAAACTTCTCTGCACAGTCTGTGTTGTTTTGGAGTGCTCTTTGCAGCCATGCACATGTTCAGATCAGCCTGGGGTTCTGCACTGCCTCTCTGGATGCAGCCAGGGCTGGATGTGTTTGGAGTCAGGCAGAGTTACCCTTTGTGTGCTGGGCTTTTCCCTAGTGGGGGATGGCAACAGCTCAGGAGGTTTCATCAGAGAGTTTATTCAAAAGCTAAATTTTAGAGGAGAAGGGAAAGAAGGGCTCCTATCCCAGGGAAAATGTCAGGGAATTCTGCAGAGAAGGGACTGCACCCCCTGGGCTGTTTGTGGCACTGAGTGGAGCTGATGGATGGTGAGGAGATGATGGATGGTGAGGAGATGATGGATGGTGTCATGGGAACTTTCACTCCCTGGCAATTTCTCATGTCCCAGCAAAAACACCCACAGCTAATTTAGGCCAGACTTAAATCAATCTTTTACCATCATCATTTGTTTCCAAGAGAGAGTGAGCAATTTACTATCTGTGCTTCCTAACAGCTTCCAAAAATCATTTCAAGTGGAGGATTTTCTGGGGTCAGAAGCAAGTGATCCACCTGCTGTAATGCCAGCAATGCAAAGCTCAATGGAATGTGCCCGAGCACATGGGCTGGTGGAGCTGGACCTGGCGGAGGGACTGGAGGAGCTCTGATGCTCTCTGTTTTTCTCTGTAGATCTCTGCTCATCTTCACTTTTATTGTCAGTCCGTGTGCCAGGGGCTACCCCAGCTGTGTTCTTCTCCTGCTGCAGCTCCTCTGGCACGGCCTTCTGGCAGATCCTCACCAGCTCCTAGGAGCGGGGAGCAGGATCAAAGAGTGACTGAAGGATCTGAGGGGGTTAAAAGAGTAAATCAGGGAGTAAATCAGAGAGCTGGTGTTGTGAGGAGGAGGAGTTGCTGTGGGCAATGTGCTGTGCTGGGGCTCACGCCCTCACAACACTTGGCGTATCTGAGTCACCTCAGACAATTTCTGGTGCTTCCACTCTTGCCAGCACACGGATTTCTTCTCTTATTGTTGAACTGTGCAATGGAAAGGAAGGCCCTGTCATTTGCTATTTGCACATGTGGGGAGCTGGTTGTCCAACTGCCAAAATGCAGATTTGTGGAACAGGTTTGCTCCTTGGAGCCCTTTTTCAGAGCTTCCCTCTCATGGATCTGGGTGATGTCACTGATGCTCTCTCTATCTCCCTTTGCCATTTTGTCACTCCTTGCACAGATGGAATCCAGATGGCCGAAGGAGAGCATTTCACTGACCTGTTTGTTCAGAAACACGTAGATGATGGGGTTGTAGACAGCGCTGCTCTTGGCAAGGATGGCTGGGATGATGCTGGCTGCAGGGGTGACGAGCCCAGGCTGCCCAAAGGTGGCCAGCAGTGCCACGGCAGCGTAGGGCAGCCAGCAGAGCAGGAAGCACAGCACCATCAGCAGCACCATCCGCAGGATGCGCTGCTCGCGGCTCCGGCCCCCCCGGGCCATGCTGCTCACCTGGGGACACAGCACAGGACAGAGGATCAACTGGTGTGTTGGTTGGTTATCTCACAAACAGGACTGCTGGGCTACCTTCCCTGAGCTGTATTGCAGCATCAGCCTCGTGACGTGGTTGAGGCAATGGGAAGATGGCAAAGCTCAGGTACCGCCAGCAGCAGCCAAAGATTTCTTTGTTACAGAGCATCTTAAAAGCTTTTTAGCCAACAGCACATTGCTAAAGCTTACAGACAGTTGTTTTAGATAATCACTAAAAGCACATGTACACCTGCTTCACACAGTGCTTGCTTGTCTTCTTTCTATTAACAATACACAATAGTTCATCATTAAGTTTCAACCTTCTACTATCTTGCTAAGCACATTTTCCTGCAGTCTTAAGGCCTATCTTAGCCAAGCCTAAGACTCAAGCTATTGTTTCATGTCTTTGCTTGCTGTACTATTGTAACTTCTTCTACCTCCAGACTTTGCAGCTGATTCTACGTTTCTCTACGCTTTCTAAGGTTTTCTTTCCCAACTTTCTGAAACTCTTCTTACCTTTAGTGTTTCCCACCCCGGGAGCTCCTGGGGTGGCTGCACTAAGGGCAGGGCTGGCAGTGTCACTGGACAGTTCTGGCTGCAGAGGAGCTGGGCTGGTGAGTGCTGAGTGTGTCCCTGGCTGCTGGGAGAGTGATGCCTTTTGGGGCTACCTAAAAACAGAGGCCAGACAGAATTAAACGAATAAAAAGCAGTTCTATTTATTGAAGGGCCTTCAGGGCAGACAAAGGCCCCCAGGGGCTACACTCAAAATGGAGGATGGATCATGGGGTTTCAGACTTTTATAAGTTTGATCCCTTTGCATATTGGGGGTTAATCTTCAATTACAGCTTCAGGTAATGAAGTCATGTACCCCAAGTTTGCTCCCCCCAACTCACTTTTGTTTTACATCTCTGGGGCCTGAGGCAGGGAGGTGTCCTTGATTGCCAGGCCTGGAGAGGAATTGGTGTGTCTGCCCCAAATGGGAAAGCAGCAGCTCACACTGTGTGTGGAGTTTAGAGTTACACACTAAAGAACTGCAGGATTACAAATACATGGAAAATAGAAAAGCTAAAATCCCACGGCATCAGCAGGACCAGCAAAAGTGCTCTGCATCTACAGCAGCCTCGTCCAGCTTCCTGCAAAGCCCAGATTCCAACAGGAGTGTCCTGGGCAGGAGGCAAGGAGGGCAATGTGCCCTGGTGTGACCCCGGGGCAGCAGCTCCCCGAGCCCATGGCCCCTGCCCCAGTGCTGCCAGGAGAGATGCCCCAGCCAGGAGAGATGTGCCCGTACCCACAGGCCCTGGGGCAGCGGATGGCAGGGGCTGAGAGGATTTCTGTCCCTGGACCCGCGGCAAAAGGCAGCACTTGAATGAAAGTGCTTTACAACAGGCTCCTCCTCTGGGCTCACAAAACCTGAGAGTAAATCCCAGCGCATTAAACACGGCTGCCTGTGCCTCTGCTGGTCTGCTGTCAGTGTGTTCTGAAAACCAGACCTTTCAGTGGCTGCTGTGTCATGCCTGCACTGAGGAGTGCTGCAGGAAGCACAAGGAGCTAGTTATTACAAGCAGTTTTATGGGGAATCCGTGGGGATGTATTTGAGTGTTGGAAGTCACCTTGAGACTAATTAAAAACCTAACCAAAACTGTTCAAAAAATAGAACATATCTGTAATTGCCTGCTGAGGGAACTCAAATACCAAGTACTTTATAAATATCTTGTTAATGTGCAAATGAAATCTTTTATGACACTTGTCTGTGATTTAAAAGGAAAAAATTGATATTTGCCACTAGGCAAATAAAGTTGTTAATCAAAATATTTCCATTAGCAAGAAGTGAATATTTCACTCAGAGCCACCCACAGGCATCGGTAGCTCAGATTTATTCACAGCCATCTCAGACAGGGAGCTCACATTTACCTTCTTCCATTGTTGATAAGAATTTTGCACACTCCCGGGGTGTGGATTTTTTGAGAGTCTGCCACACCTTGGTACAAAACTTCACCCAGGCTGTGTGATGAAGCCCAGACAGCTGGACTGGGGTGGAGGCAAGGCTGGAGGCCAGAGAGGGGCTGCATTTTGCACGCTGAGTGTCGGTGTTTGAGGCTCCTGATGAGAGGCACTGGAAGGATCAGCACCGGCTGCATCCCCACACAAATTCCAGCTCTTTGTGCCTTCCCGAGGCCCTCCTGCCCACCCCCGTGCCAGGACACACCAGGGCAGGTGGTGGGTGGCGGCTTGCCTGTGGAGCACCTCAAGGAAAACCAAAAGCTCCCTTTGGTTTTATCGATTTCCATCAATTCCAGAAAAGGAAACCAAACCACCTCTTCCTTCAGATAAGGTCAGAGAGGACAAATGTTTTACTGATGTCTTCTAGCTGGAAGTCAGCCTGGTGAGAGGCTGGCCATGGGAGGAGGGCTCTGGAGGGAATTCCCTTTAATAATCCTGAGCAGGGCTGGGCTGTGATATTTTCTGAAAAATCCCTTTGCCAGGATTTCTTCTGCTGGGAAGCTGAGAAGCCTCAGAAAAGAATGTAAATGAAAATTAGCTGATTGCTTCTCCTTGTGTTTTGCTGCTTTGGAATGTGGTAGGTGATTGTTTGATTGGTTCCATGTAAATTGTTTTAACCTAATGACCAATCACCATCAGCTGTGTTGGACTCTGAGGAGTCAGTCACAGGTTTTTATTATTCATTCTTGTTAAGCCTTCTGGATGTATCCTTTTTCTTTAGTATAGTTTTAGTATAGCAAAATTAATATAATATAATATAATATAATATATAATATAATATAATATAATATAATATAATATAATATAATATAATATAATAATCAGCCTCCTGAGAACATGGAGTCAGATTCATCTCTTCCCTCCTCCTGGGACCCTCACAAACACCACAGGGCTGGGTCCCAGGGAGCTGTGCAATGCTCTCCACATCTGCAAACCCTGCTGCAGGGGCAGGAACAGCTGCTCTGGGCCACTGCTTCAGCTCAGAGCCCCTGGGGGACTGATGCTGCTGATGCTGCCTGTGCCACCTGGGCACTGCTCCCTGCTCAGGGAGCTCCACCAGGTATCACACACTTCACTTCTGAATTGTTTTGTCCTTCCCTAAGAAAAAGAGAAAAGCTTACAGTTTTTCAGACTGCTGATGCCAGGGAATGGCTTCATGGGTAAGCAAGGAAAGGTTTCAATTTCCTTGCCAGCAACAGGATATTATTATTTTCATCCTATGAGGCCAGAAATTTTGAATATCCTCCCACTTCTGTAGCTCTCCTTGAAGCATTTTTTGCTTTCAACTACAAGGCTCCCTGGTCAGTCAAGGAAACCTGAGATATTCATATCTGGCACACATGCAGAAAACTTCTGCAAAACTAAATCAAACCCATCAACCTCGAAATGTTGCTGCACCCCATCAGCAGATGGTGCCTTGGCTACAGCATGTGCTGTGGGCTGGCATCAGATCACCCTCTGCAAGAGGGCAAAGCAAAGAGCTCTGTAAAAGTGATGCTGGTGAATGGTGCTGTGGGTTTTTAGTTTAATTTTGTCTTTATCATTATCACTGCTTTAATTAAGGGGTGGGACTATTCTGGGGCTGAGAACGATTTATTGCTCAGATAAACATCAGTCTCAGAGGCTGTCAGAGTTTAGAGGAGCAAGTATACAGCCATAGCTCAAAGTGGTCACAAGTTCTTCATTACAAAGCAATATAGAACTGTCTGATCCAATGGACAGTTGCCACAGGGTTTATTTTGCATTTCTAACCCATCACCTTTACTCACTTCTACTGCACTGTGGATGCTGTTACCCAATGGGCTCCTATCACACATGCACACATTTGCTTTTATTATAACATCTAAACTCTTAGCTACTCTATACAATTACACCCTACATTATAAACCCTCCACACCTTATTAATACAATTTTTTACTTACTTAAGGCATATTCTTACTTACAACTATAGAAACATAAGTTTAAGATTTTTCTGCTTAATATCTGTGCATTTTATTTTTACATCAATCCAAGCTTCTTCCAAGGCTGCAGATCAAACCCTCCTGTGTCTGTGGAAATTTCTACCTTTCCATTTCCCACGGTCTTGGTAACTTCCAGGAAAGCCAAGAGCACAGGTCTGGCCTGTGCTTGCCTTTGGTTGCTGGCCCCTGAGGTTGGGCACTCAGTCCGGGCAGCTCCAGGTCAGGGTTGGCAGCAGCAGGAGTTTAGCACAGGGGAGCCCTGGCCTGCACTGTCCTCTGCTTCTGGCTTGGTCAAAAATCGAAACTTCGATCTGCTGTGCAAGAAATTTGGTTTTAAAATCTCACTGTTTCTGTTTTGGTATAGAAAACAGCCATGAAAAATGTGTTCTTATAGCCTTCATATTTTCTTTACTGGAAATTGAGTCTCTGTTCCTTCTAAAATGATCTTTTCAGTTTCCCAAAATTTATTTTGTCTCTGTGTCATGCCTTCTATATTGAATGTGTGGCCCAGTGTACTGAGTTAGCAGGGCTGGGGACCTGCAGCCCTAGCCCCATCTTGCTCTTCCAGTGTTTTTTTCCTCTTGCTTCCCATGACTGTTGATTTTTTACTGGCTAGGTTTCTTTGTGTTTTCTCCTGTAGAGAAGCACCTCAAGGTGGTGATTCAGCCTGCTGAAGTGATTAATTTGCCTTTTTTTTTAAAATCTCACTGACCATAATTGGGATTGTGCACAGCCATCCTCCCAGAGCAGGAGCAGAAATGCTCACAAATGGTGTTTGTGTGGAGGGGCACGGGCTGTGGGTGATAGGCACTAAACAATAAGGACAGGTTTAAACAGAGGTCTCTGTGGACACAGCAAATCCCTGGTTGGTGCTGCTGACTGTGCAGAAAGAACAGAGTCATCACTCCACCAGGAAAGTCAAATCTGTGTTTTCAGCACTGGGTGTGGAAATTGCTCAGCCACATCCAGGCTGGAGAGCACAGCTGAGCCAGCTGGGGAGCTCAGCCCCAAAACCCCCTG